GTGAAATAATCTAATAGTCACTATATCTAATTTCTCATGAGATTGTTGCAAAGTGTACGATTTAGCTCATCTCTTAAGATTTTTTAGCTTGTTTTAAGTAATTTTGTCTCATGAAACTGTCTTATTCCATTGGCAGATTATTATGCTTGTTTTAAGCATTATTTCTTGAAATAAGCAAAATTAATCACACACGCACACAAATATCCATTTTGATTTCAGGTTGACTTTAAACCTGGTTCCTATTTAATCCTATTTAATGTGAGATGTAAACAGAGAGATTCAGAGTGGTTTGGTGTGAAATGGTTCAGATGTCTTTACAGTTGTGGTGACAGGAACCAGGGGTCGCCATGACTACAGCACAGATATAGACATTTTATTTACTATCCAGAACCACCAGTGAACCTACACGAGTCTTCTGAGTTTATATGGAATGTTGATGATGGAAAATAGTGGAAAATCTGAAATAATAAGTTTTCTTTGGGGACTATTTTGCCTCACAGCGCCCTGCATGTATCCCTCCACCATGAATGGAGTTTAAGTTCTCTAAACGATCATAAAACAGTGTCTCAGTCATCAGGCAGTGAATTCATAACCATTTCATGTAGTAACTTTCTGTGAGGGAGCTTTTAGAGGTGGACGTCTGGTTCCTATCACCACCACTGTGAACAGTTCTGACTCAGTGAGTTTCTCATTTCACACCAAACCACTCTGAACGACTTTACTTTATCTCAACCACTTAATTGTGGAGAAATTTTGAAAAGTCGATGGAGTTCCCCTTTAAACCAGGCCAGATCCATTCAGCCTCTTTCCCTGGAGTAGAGCATAACAGACTGGACGATGTGATGTGATGTGATGTGATGACGTCACGGCTGAGTAATAATGCGTCTGATCTCCAGGTTGGCTTGTTACTGACACAGTTGACAATGTTTTTCAGTGGGTTGTTGGAGAGAACGGCGTCCTCAAACCCAAACGCGTGAATCCCAGCGTCTACCAGCCTCCCTCACTGAAGGGTAAGTGTAGACGCTCTGCAGCTCTGTGTCTCTGCTGTGTGGGCTGTTTGGCTTTGCTCTGCTTTACACACACACACACACACACACACACACACACACACACACACACACACACACAGCTTTCAGTCTGTTTTATTAATTTATTTATTTTCTCGTGTGAGTGTGTGTGAGAGATTAGGGACAGTGACAGCTGCAGTGTGTGTGTGTGTGTGTGTGTGTGTGTGTGTGGATCATACGGGATTATGACCAACAACAACAACACACGCACGTATGCTGTTTGATTTTGGGTCTGGCCGTAGTTTCAAAACCAAACAAAACATCAAAGAAAGATTTTTCCTTTGCATCAAACAAATACATAAATAAATTCAATTAATTATTTTGTTTATTTATTTGTTTAATTATTCATTCGTTGCACTTATTCAGAACAATTACGACATGCGTCACTACAATCAATTAATACTAACTCAGGCTGAATGGGCGGAGCTAAACTGTTGTGGGCTAAATGGGCGGGGTTAAACTGCTGTAGCTGAATGGGTGGAGCTAAACTGTTGTAGACTGAATGGGCAGGACTAAAGACTGTATGCTGAGTGGGTGGGGCTAAACTGCTGTAGGCTGAGTGGGTGGGGCTAAACTACTGTAGGCTGAGTGGGTGGGGTTAAACTGCTGTAGGCTGAATGGGTGGGGCTAAACTGCTGTAGGATGAATGGGTGGAGCTAAACTGCTGTAGGCTGAGTGGGTGGGGCTAAACTGCTGTAGCTGAATGGTGGAGTATAGTATAAATCAGTATACTATACTCCACTGTGTAGTATACTATATTTGACTGCAGGGTGACGTGACTGTAGGGTGACGTAACTGCAGGGTGACGTGACTGTAGGGTGACGTGACTGTAGGGTGACGTGACTGCAGGGTGACGTGGCTGTAGGGTGACGTGACTGCAGGGTGACGTGGCTGTAGGGTGATATGACTGTAGGGTGATATGACTGCTTTCTGAGCTGAGTGGCCTTGACCTGCCTTTGAGACAGAGTTACTGACTCCAGAGGCTGATTATCTGGAGCTGGCGTTTGTTAGTAAAGCTCGGTAAAGATAAAGCCTAATGAATCGGCTGCACCAGTACAGCAGGCTGAATTATCACTGGATATGTTTGTGTGCAAATGTCACACTGACTGCAGCGCAGTGACGCAAAAGGAACCTGTCAGTACTGGAGAAAAATGCAGTCCCATCCAGCCCTGTTTGGTGTCTGAAGTTTGCTTCTTTAGTTTTAGCAGAGAACTTGTAGAGAGGAGAATTTCCACTCTGTATTGTCTTCCAGGTTTCCCAGACGCTAGAGGGCGCTCCCGAGCGAGTCCAAAATGAATGGGTTAGAAGGGAGCATTTGAGCAAAATCATAGTTTATAAATGTTTAAACATTTTTAATATAAAAGAATGCATTCATATCCTGAACACAGAGCAGCACAAAACATTTTAACACCGCTGTTATATTTTAAGAGCTTATATAAGAGTTATAGGAGTTTAAAACGGCGCCTCATGTACAGCCATGACGTCTGTGAGCGCGAACAGCCAATGAGCTGCTCCGCTCACCGACCAATCAGCACTCAGTAGCAGTAATGTTAGCGTCCTGCTGCCCAAAACCTGTTTACTGTAGAATAAAGGAAACATACAGGTGAGTTTTCTTTGTTTATTTAGTGAAATACAAACTTCTACTGTCTAAAATTAAAGGAAAGTTCTGGTTCAGTGATTAGAAACTATTTTAGTTATTCATTTTTAGCCGTTGAGCTCCATTCACTCCCATTCACTGAGGACTCGCTCGTGGGCGCCCTCTGCTGTTTAGCAGTCCTGTTTTTGATATAATGAGGGAAATAGGAAGTGGCCAGGCTCCCCATAAACCGGCTCTGTTTTTAGCACTGGAGCTACAAGGCTAACAAAGCTAACAAGCAGTGGGGAACCCCAAAGGCCTAACATGCTAGATAACCCTAACATTATTAGGAAGTGACAGAGAAGTGTGTGTGTGTGTTTCCTGCTGCTTGGCTTGCTGCCCATTAACCTGCTTACCTGCCTGTGTTCGTACTGTAACACCTCAGTGCCGCCAGCGAGAGCCGCATGTGTCCCTCTGCCGTTTACACTGGAGTTTATTATCCTGTGTTGAGTTTCCCTGAAATCCTGTGTTTGTTTCTGTGTATCTCTCTGTGTCCCTCTGTGTTCTTATCTGTTCACCTGTGTCCATATGTGTCATTTTGTGTCCCCCTCTGTGTCCCGCTTTGTCCCTTTCTCTTCCCATGCATCCATCTCTGTTCCTCCCTGTCCCCCTGTGTTGTTCTCTCCCTCTGTTTTCCTCCATGTTCCCATATCCCTCTTTGTCCTTTTTGTCCCTCTGTATTCCTCTTTGTCTCCCTGTGTTCCGCTCTGTTCCCCTGTGTCTCTCTCTGTCCCTGGTGTTCCTCTGTGTTCTTCTCTGTTTGCCTGTGTCTCTCTCTGTCCCTGGTGTCCCTGTGCGTTCCTCTCTGATCCTGTGCCTCTGTGTCCCTCTGTGTGCCTCTGTATTTCTCTCTGTCCCCCTATGTCCCTCTCTGTCCCTCGTGTCCACTTATGTACCTCTCTGTCTCCCTGTATCCCTCTGTCTCCCTCTTTGTCCACTTTTGTCTCTGTGTCCCCGTGTCCCTCTGTCTCCTTCTCTATCCCCTTTTGTCCCTCTCTCTCCCACTCTATCTCCCTGTGTTCCTCTCTGTCCCTGGTGTCCCCTGTGTCCCTTTCTGTCCCTCTCTGTCCCTCTTTGCCTCCCTGTGTTTCTCTCTGTCCCTGGTGTCCCCCTGTATCCCTCTCTCTCCCTTTTTGTCTCCCTGTGTCCCTCTCTGTCCCCCTGTGTCACTCTGTGTTCCCCTGTGTCCCTCTCCCTGTCCCTCTCTGTCCCAACGTGTAGTTGTCCAGCAGATGGCTGAGGCTCAGATGCAGAAGTTGGGTGTGTATCCTCACATGGAGGAGGAGGGGGAGGAGCCTCTGGAGACAGAGGAGGCGGAGTTATTAAGCTGCACTGCTGGTAAACATCACAACACAACTGTTGTTGCTTTTTGTATCAAGGTAATCATATAAGTTGAGCAGCTACAGAGAGGCTGCAGTCTATAATCCAGTCTACAGTTCATGCACCATATAGGCTCAGTTTGTAGGTTTACAGTTAGAGACTGTAGCTCACCTGTTTCTGCACAGGTTATCAGCCCCCTTCTATCACATTCATCAAGAGACCATCACAGGACTGTTGTCTGAAACTGACCAGTGACGAAGGGCTGAGGATGGCTAACAGAAACTGTGCATCAACAGATGATTTGCTTGCTTGCTAATTAGCTTAACGATAGACTGCAGTGATCAAAAATGTCTACAGGTTACACAACATCAGGTGTAAAATCATATTTTTCTCTGTCAAGTGTGAAAACATGAGCTAATAGAGTGGACAGTGCGTGGACACAGTGTTTAAAAACTCCAGCAGCACTGCTGTGTCTGATCCACTCAGACCAGCACAACACACACTAACACACCACCACCACGTCAGTGTTACTGCAGTGCTGAGAATGATCCACCACCCAAATAGTACCTGCTCTGTGAGGGTCCATGGGGGTCCTGACCACTGAAGAACAGGGTAAAAGGGGGCAAACAAAGTATCAGAGAAACAGATGGACTACAGTCTGTAACTGTAGAACTACAAAGTGCACCTATATAGTAAGTGGAGCTGATAAAATGGACAATGAGCACAGAAACAAGGAGGTGGTCAGAATGTTATGCCTGATTGGTGTATCAAGTATTTACATGTAATATTTAAGGTTCACTACAAGTGGCTGTATTTTGCTGTCGATGTTTTGGTGTATTAAAATATAAACGCTCTCTGGCCCTCGGATTTGTTGAGATTTTTTAATATGGCCCTAGTGGTTGAGATTCACACCCCTGCTCTCTAAAATGAAGTTGTATCAGTACAAAAAATGAAGAGGTTAGATCTGTGAAGAACTTCGTGCTCTAAAATGTTTTGTGCTTCATAAACACGCTGGTTATATGGGTGTAAATGGTGATGACACAGCAGAAAGGTCACATTAGTCAACATTACAGTTAGCCTAACATCACATGATGAGCCAGCTTTGCTCCTCAGAGGCTGAGAATAGGTACAGTGTCAGAGTGTGTGCATAATGAGTGCATGACATAATCTTGTATGTTTGCTGTGACAAAGATCACAAAGAAACTCACTGAAATATCACAGAAGCTCTGGTTAGAGTGTGCAGTCATATTTAGCAGGACAAAAACACGCTACTGACAGTATTATCAGCACTGATGTCGACTGCTTTGGACAATGGAGCAAAACACAACATTGTTTTTATGAGAAGTATTACAAAACTGTGGGGGGAAAAATTAGACTACGACGGGCCGCCACAGTCCAGGTAATTAATGAAACACTTATGATTGTTTTAGTAGTGACAAAATACAATGTTCAGTGATGAGTTTTAATAAAATAAACATAATTAAGGTATGGGGTCACTCAAAGCTAAAGGAGTCCAAAATCAGTAAAATCCTAAATGAGTCCTCAGCTCTGACTTCACTTCAGTAGAATCGTCTGTATAGAATAACTATGTTTATTCTCTCATTTGGGTGAGGGGGCGGGGCTAGGGCAGGAGTCAGCAAACCAAATGTTAAGAAGACACAACACTTTGTCCATTTTAGTAACTTGATACTAAGTTAAAGTAACTTGATACTGAGTTAAATATGTCTCAGTATGTGTTTATGTACTAGTATAGGCTAAAAAACATAAATGACTAAAAAATGTAATATAAACAAAAACGCAGATTTTGCTTTGCTTTAATCTTTAGCTCAGCTGTAGCTGCTTTTCTCGCATCTCTGGCAGGAAACTTTTGAGCAAAAGTGGAATAATTTCTTATAAAATGTCTCTCAATGTTCGGCTTTTTACGAGGCTGAAGTCAGCCTCTCAATCGCAGCTTCTTTTTTGAATTTTCCCGTTCCACCTTAAATGGTGCTTGAGGTGCCCAAAGCTAACTGCAGCACCATTTAAGGTGGAACGGGAAAATTCAAACAAGAAGCTGGCGAATGAGAAGCGACTTCAGCTTCATGACTTTAGTGTTTCAGTTTGTTGTTGCAGATTAAACGTATCCGGAAACCAGCTGGAGTGATTATAAACACTAATAAGTCCATTCATCTCCAAATTATTGATGTTCATCTTAAATCTCTCTCTTTGCCTTTTCGTTAAGCTGGACGTCCGTCCCACCGCCGTCTTTTAAAGATCAGACCATAAACTTGGTCTCCTCTGCAGACCAGTTTCTGGTCCGCCATGTTGAACATTATAAACTTTCACTGACGCGACGAAACATGATCAGAACGGACTTAAACTTTCCGATAGGGAATGTAATCAGATACAGGCGTTTACACGGATATTACTCTTTTATTTAACGGATTATTTACAGGATTACACACCTCGATCAATCAGATAGAAACTGTATTCCAAATGGCCTCAATTGGACAAGTCTATTCTGATTGAGGTGTTTACTTGGACGGATTCTATTCCGATTGAACTATTAGTTGGATTATTAACAGAGGCTGCATGTAAACGTGGTTAATGAAAACCAGCGACTGCTGTTAGGAGCAAATAAAGTGAACGCTGTGAGCCGAAAACTGGTGGCTGCTTTGCGCCGTGTCTCTCAAACACATGCAGGTTGAGGCTGAAAGAGAGAAAGTCTGTACAGAGTTAGAGGCCAGTTTTGAACCCCAAAGCAACCAAACACTGGGCCATTCACCGACCGTTCTTAAGAAGAAATTCCTTCTTAAACCCACTTACGCAGTTTTGATGAAGATTCTGACTCACCGACGTTCTCTTATGTGGGGTTTGTTCTTAGATAAGAACAGAATCTACACACACTCAAGAGAACAAAGGTGAGAACAGTTCTGTGCTTTAAGAACACGTCATGAATCTGACGTAGACTTTTTCTTAGGACAGTTAAGAACAAACTTAGGAGGATGAGGACCTGTGTTTTTTTATTTTTACTTAAAATCTAATGTAATAATCAAGTTTTATCAACCGGTGTATCTCCGACTCGATGGCGTTCCAGTGTTAAATCTTGGTGTGTAACTGTGTGCGTGATAATTTAAATGCAACAGATCAACGATCTGATTGGTCGCTGATCAGCTCATTTGCATAAAGTTCGTTGAGAGAGCAGTGGTTTGATGTGTCAGTCGGTTAGATGTGTATGTTGTCATCTCTCGGCTCATTATCGCACCATGAGTTCTGTTTGATTAACTTTTCATTTTTCTTTGCAACAAACCTGCAAAAATGACTGGATTCCACTTTATCACACATTTATAAAACTGTTCCAAGGTCAAGTCAGAGTTGCACTGTAAAGTGACAGGAAACTCAGACTCATGTGGCGCACTCTGCTTGAAATCAGATACAGATTTGAATCTTTGATTTCTGTGAATCGTATAATCGTGGAAGATTACAGACAGTTTAGGTGTTTAAACTGTTCTCCTGCTCCATCTGGTCTTCACACTGACACGCTGCAGTTTGTTCCTGTTTCACAGTCCATATTCACTCCGTCACTCAGCATTATTCGCTGAATGTCACTGTTTTCCAGTCTGGTTTATAATTTTCCCACTTTAAAAGGCCCAAACTCTGCATTTTATACTGTATTTACTTTCTTTTCTGTAGTACATGACTATTTTCCAACCTCTCTGTATCCATTAGAATTAAACAGACTGTTTTGTTACTGTGCCATTAAGACTGATATATGTAAATGAGCTCTGTTCTGATTGGCTGCTCTGTAGTGTGTCTATTTCAAAAACCATCTGAGTGATGTGGATCAAACTTAAGTTGGCTGTGGGGAAAAAAATTACTGTGTGGATTTTTTGGAAACTGCAGTGATCCATTTGCTTCCTGACAGCCAGGAACAGCACAACGTTTAATCGTTTTCACACAACGTTCACTAAAACATTCACCAACTCCAATAACGCTGATACAGACTGTCTGCAGGAGCTAGACTAAACATCAGTTTAACTGGAATAGGCAGAGCTAAACTGCTGTAGGCTGAATGGGCGGGGCTAAACTGCTGTAGGCTGAATGGGCGGGGCTAAACTGCTGTAGGCTGAATGGGTGGGGCAAACTGCTGTAGCTGAATGGTGGAGCTAAACTGCTGTAGCTGAATGGTGGAGCTAAACTGCTGTAGCTGAATGGTGGAGCTAAACTGCTGTAGCTGAATGGTGGGGCTAAACTGCTGTAGCTGAATGGTGGGGCTAAACTGCTGTAGCTGAATGGGTGGGGCTAAACTGCTGTAGACTGAATGGGTGGGGCTAAACTGCTGTAGCTGAATGGTGGAGCTAAACTGCTGTAGCTGAATGGTGGAGCTAAACTGCTGTAGCTGAATGGTGGAGTACAGTATAAATCAGTATAAATACTCAGTATAATGTTCAGTAGAAATAAATCAGTAAATGAGTAGCAGTTAGCACTATGTTAATTGGTGGGGTATGAGCTTTTATCACATTCGCCTCCAGTGCTAAAACTAAAGAAACAACCTTCAGACACCAAACATGTCTCGGCTGATCGACTGCAGGGGAAAAGGCTTCGCTTTAAAGCAGCTCAGGCTGCAGATATTTCAGGCCTTAATTAGTCTGTTTATATTAAACACTATTTTCAACTTTTGTCGTTTGTCTGCCAGATTCACAGGGGGAGGGCGTGAGAGACGACCGGCCAGAATCGAGTAAACTGATCGCCACGGAGCGAACAGAGGAAGAGGAGGAGGAGGAAGAGGAGGAAACGACAGAAGACGAGAGCAGAAACGTGGAGTGAAACAGAGGGATGAAGGAGGGAGGGAGAGAGGGATGATGGAGAAAACGTTTAAGTTGTAGGAACTTTAAGCAACACATTGAAACAGAAGAACAGTCTGTGTGGGCGTGTTTGTGTGTGTGTGCGTTTTTTGGTATTTCAGTTTCCTAATAGAGCCGTACGATATATAGTTTATTAATTATCACAATGCAAATGAGCCCTCTAACCAATCAGTGTTTATTTTTTTTAACGTATGCTTTGATCATCTTGACCAATCACGGATGAATCAAGGTATTCACATGATCCAACCATGCAGACCAGTCTTTAATCACACAATGTCACATTATTGATTTACTAATGTTTTTTAATATGTTGTATTACATTAGAGTAGTCAGATCGCCCCCTGCTGTTTGAACATGCCAATGCAGATAAGATAGGGTGCTGTGTTGCCCCTGTATTCAGTTATATTTAACTCTATATCAACATTTTGAGTAATTAAATGTCAGTAAAAGACAGAAATGCAGTTTTTATGAGCTTTTCCCCAAAATGGCCTGACATGCCGATGACATCACTATCATGTATTCCACGAAACGGCACCAGTGCGTCATTAAATGCTGTTTAGCTACTGCAGTGTTAGCCTCTCCGTGTAACGCCAACCTATTTAACACATTTACTTTATTTATGGCCTCATTTCATAAAGTGATAGTATCAAACTTGTGTTTAGCTCTCAGAAGAGCCCCCCATTCATCTTATTTAACGGGACAGTAGCTGCAGTTTTATGTCACTATATAAAATAAAATCCAGTAAGAAACTATGTGCCTGTTCAGCTAACTTTTATCCAGTGATAATTCACCCAGAAAGTCACAATGTTAGCTAGCCTGCTATCTGCTGCTATCTGAACTGTGGTCCAGTAGCTAATGTGAACTAGTGTTTTATAAAAGTGTCGTTCTACAGAAACGTCCATTTTTGGGTCCCTAGCGTTTACAGATATATTACACTTGAAAAAACATGCTATGGTCACAATTTATTTATATTTTAAAATAAAACAATGTTATTTTAACAATCACACCTTCCTGAGCCTCAATTTATCAATATTGGTTTTTAAATCAATCATATAGGATTCCAAGCTCCACAGAAGAGCTCGTCCTCACAGTCATGTGTGAAGACTGAGGCCATATTTTGAAGAAAAAAACTTGACTATGAAATATATAAATTAAATGACAAAGAAAACAAATGCCAATTAAATATTATAAAATATATATAATGAAAGTTGACGTCCCCAGGAGTCGTGTCACTGGTGTCACTGCATAATAAGAAATCTCTTATTTTGAACTAAAAGTCACACTGATGACATCACTTGACTTCCTTTTCCCTGTTTTCTGAGGATCTATGAAGAAAAGCACATGGTCCACTGAGTCTTTCAGTTATCAGAGATTTTCTCATTTAGCTCATGATTTCATATGAAGCTTTTAGCTGAAGTCACTGGTGTGACCGACTTTATTCTGAGGTAACTGTGAAAAAATAGAATACAAATGGATTAAATTCCATATTTTAGTGGATATTCCATGATTGACAACATGTGGTTTGATGCTCTGTAGCAGCCGTTTAGTAAAATGTCTCTGGGGTTACCTTTCTTATGTGTAACACCAATGAGGATGAGTAACACCAGTGACGCCTGTGGAGAGAGAGAAAAGTGGACGTTTCTGTAGAATGACCCAAATAGCAGCATTTTAGCGAGGAAAAAAAAACATTTATTAGTCATAATTAAAAATGTTTTTTAATGTATTTGATCTGTGACATCCCTGCTGAAAAATCAGCTAAGCTGGTCTGTGTTGGTCTGGTGCTGGTTTAGCTGGTCGCCCAGCATGTCATGCTAGTTGTCCAGCATACCAGCTCCCCAAAGACAACATATACTGGTTTTGCTATAGACCAGCCGTGCTGATCTGTGCTGGTTTTCGTAGCAGGGATTCATGTAAGCAATGCAGGATGCCAGGCAGACCAGCCTGGAAGGGGGGACCACCACAGTGACCACACCAGCACAGAGCCATGGGATTTGTAGTTCAGTTGTGTTTTAATCTTCACATTTGTGTGGCTCAGTCAAATACAAATACTGAAAAACCAGCACAGGCCTGCATGACTTCTATGCTGGTCTAACCTGGTTCATGACAATCTGGTTCTTGTTTAGTTGGTCATCCAGCAGGGTCATGATGGTTGACCAGCATACCAGCATTCAAAACCCAACACATGCTGGTTTTGCTGGTGAGCAGCCGTTGATCTAGGCTGTTTTTTCTAGCAGGGATTGTATTGTACTCATCACTACAGTCCTTCTAATCCATCACCAGAAGTTTCTCCATATAGAGAAATGAATGGAGATTCCAAATGTTTCAGACTCAACCAGCAGATGGCGTAGTTCTACATTTCCCTCCTCATAACTCATTGACGTACCACAATCACAATATGTGATATTTTCAAAATATTCCAATCAGATTCCATGTGAATTGGATTAAGTTGTGAAATTGGTTATTTCAAAACCAAGACAGAGAGAATCTTGGGTAGGACCGAATGGTCTGAATTCGTCTTTAATTGGGATTACATTTTTAAAAAGTGCTGTGCAGAACTCCGGGTGAATAGTGTAGCTTTGATTCATTCAGCAGGACACAGTTATCTTACAAGAATTAAGATTATTGACGGCATGCTTTATGAGTGTGATGTATCCAATCATGTAATTCTGTTCATGGCCACCAGGTGGCACTGAGTAAACTCCACTAGAGCACCCTGATGGTGAGGAGTCCAGCCCTATGCTGGGTTGGTCTGTGCTGGGGTTTGTAGCAGGGATTCATGTAAGCAATGCAGGTTTTAGAACCTGTTTAGGGGAGTCTGCCCACTTCCTGTTTCTCCCGATATATATCAAAAACATGACTGCAAAACACCAGGGGGCGCCCACGAGCGAGTCCTCATTGAATGGGGTGAATGGAGATAAACTTCTAAAAACAAATATATAACTGCTTGTCCAGAGACGTCCTTTAGTTCTGGAAAGTAGAAGAATGTATTTCTTTCTGATTTTCTGATTGGTTAGCATTACTGCTACTGAGAGCTGATTGGTTAGCATTACTGCTACTGAGAGCTGATTGGTTAGCATTACTGCTACTGAGAGCTGATTGGTTAGCATTACTGCTACTGAGCGCTGATTGGTTAGCATTACTGCTACTGAGAGCTGATTGGTTAGCATTACTGCTACTGAGCGCTGATTGGTTAGCATTACTGCTACTGAGCGCTGATTGGTTAGCATTACTGCTACTGAGCACTGATTGGTTAGCATTACTGCTACTGAGCGCTGATTGGTTAGCATTACTGCTACTGAGCGCTGATTGGTTAGCATTACTGCTACTGAATGCTGATTGGTTAGCATTACTGCTACTGAGTGCTGATTGGTTAGCATTACTGCTACTGAGTGCTGATTGGTTAACATTACTGCTACTGAGCGCTGATTGGTTAGCATTACTGCTACTGAGCGCTGATTGGTTAGCATTACTGCTACTGAATGCTGATTGGTTAGCATTACTGCTACTGAGTGCTGATTGGTTAACATTACTGCTACTGAGTGCTGATTGGTTAACATTACTGCTACTGAGTGCTGATTGGTTGGCAGGCAGTGCAGCTCATTGGCTTACTGATGTCATGAATGTGCATGAGGCACCGATATAAACTCCTATAACTTGAGTTCTGAAGTGCTAAAAAAATAACAGCAGTATTAAAATGTTTTCTGCTGTTCAGGAAATTAAAGCTTTTCATTCTTCTATATAAAAATGCACAGTGGCCAAACAAATACTACGAAAGTTATGACCCATTATTATTGTTTAATTCATTAGTTTATTTGGAAATGAGTTTTGTTAATAATTCCATCATGTGGTAACAGTTAGTTTCCTGTTCCACAGCTTCCACCTTAAAGAGTGCAGCAGGTACATTCTGGAACATTTAGGCATGTAGTCACCGGAACCAGTCACTGTTAAACCATTTAAGGTGGAAAAATTAGAATTAGAAGCTAATTTCAGCTTCGTAATAAGTGTCGCTGGATGAAATTGAAATATAATGTGATATGCTGTCTATCCCAGAATATAAATAGATTATATTATAGCATATCTTCAATATATTAACTGTTTAAATCAGTCAGTTGTGAATGTATCATTGACCAGTCACACACACATCCTACTGTATCTGAACCAAAGTGCTCTGCTGGTAAATCTGCCTCTATCAGATTTAGAAAAATGTGTCAGTATTCCTATAACGCCATCATATCATGATCATATATATTATATGGCATTCACGTTTGGATGTTGTTAAAGGGGAATTCCACCATTTTTTCAGAATTTCTGCAGTTTGTGTGTGAGATGTAAACAGAGTGATTCAGAGTGGTTTGGTGTGAAACGGTTCAGATGTTTTTACAGTGGTGGTAATAGGAACCAGGGGTCGCCATGACTACAACACAAATATAGACATTTTATTTACTATCCAGAACCACCAGTGAACCTACACGAGTCTTCTGAGTCTATATGGAATGTTGATGATGGAAAATAGTGGAAAATCTGAAATAATAAGTTTTCTTTGGGGACTATTTTGCCTCACAGCGCCCTGCATATCATTTATCATGAATGGATTTTAAGGCCAAAATCTTCTCAAAACATCATAAAACAGTGTCTCAGTCATCAGGCAATGAATTCATAACCATTTCATCTAGTAACTTTCTGTGAGGGAGCTTTTAGAGGTGGACGTCTGGTTCCTATCACCACCACTGTGAACAGTTCTGACTCGGTAAGTTTCTCTAGAACAGAGCGTTTCACACCAAACCACTCTGAACCGCTGTGTTTACATCTTAACCACCTAATTAAGGAGCAATTTTTGAAAAATCAGTGGAAATCCCCTTTAAGAACCCTCCTAATTGCCACCTACTGGCATGATTGTGGAGGTAACTCTACAGGCCTCATCAACAGAGAACAAACTGCAGACTTTTGTTTTAGGTTTATGCAATTTCTTTAACTTGTTCATGGTCTAATAATTCATGTATCTCCAACCTCAACATGTTAGGAGTGAGACTTTAGACAGAAATGTCCATCAGATGTTGATTTTTCCTTGTGTCATGAGATCCACAGTGAAACAGAAGGAAGTGCTAAAGTAAAGGTTTTGTGAAAAAATCTAATTTACAGTTTTAGTTTTATCCCTGAAGCTATGAGGCTAATGTAGCTGACAAGCAGTGGAGGCTTACACCTCACCAATTAGCATAGTGCTAACTGGGCAGAAGTACAATGTATAGCTATATTATATTTGGTAGTAACCTCCATCTTGGAGCCTGAATTTTTTCTTTTTGGGGGGATTTTTGTCCAATTTAGTTGTGATTCCCACCTGTAAGCTAGGTCACACAATGATACCAAGCCAGGAGGGTGAAGTCTGGCAGAAACTTCCTCAGAGTCACATTAAACTCCACCAAATCTTTTCAAACTGCCACTAATGCAACATCTTTGGAGCTCACTGTGCATTTAATGTTAACTGCTAATTCTGTCATGTCAGCTAACAGACGCCCATGTTGGGTAGCATCTCACTGAGTGTTGGGGGAGAGGAAGGACCATCCTACCCACCCAGAGAGAGAAAGAGGACAATTATGATATCTTGGACTCCCACTTACGGATGGCTGTGGCATCACGGGGACCGAACTCGCCGTCTCCCATTGATCAGGCCAACACTTAGACCGGGGCAGCTCAAAGTCGGCCCATAAGGACGTTTAGAGCTGCACTATGTAAGATGTTTGTTGTTAAAACTAAAAGAAATGTTGTTACTGAGTGAGGATAATATAAACGGGCTAAAATATGGTGAGGATGAGCTGCTGTGAGTCGCCCTGTAAAGCCTGAAATAATCATTCGTGGTGTGAAAAATTATTATACATATTAACGTCACACACGGACTATAAAAGAAGGTCTGGACTTCCAATGACATCAAAATCAACATTACACTGATGAAGATATGGTTACAGTAGTAGATACACTGCAAAAATGGTATCTTTTCAAGTAAAACCATCTAAAATCTACTCAATAAATGTGATTTTTCTCCTACTGAGATTGTTATAATCTTATTTTGGCTCATTTCTATTTTATGTACTTGTTTTAAGTAATTTTGTTAAGTAAAATTACTTCACTCTATTGTCAG